CCCATAGACTTCAATGCCGTAAACATATTTCATCCAGTTTTTCTCAGTCTTACCCCCACCCCAATGCCAGCCTCATTCTACAACAGTGGCACCATATAGCGTTTGTCCCTTTGTGACTGAGATACCTCACTCAGCATAATGTCCTCCAGGGTCATCCATTTAGAATAATATTGGATGAGTTCCTTGTTTTCCAATGCAGAGTAATATTCCATTGTCCTGCCCCTCTTTTAAGGCATTGGATAAGTTTCAAAGAGACAATGATGTTAATTGTTCTCTTACACCTTTTTAAATTGTGTAAAAAGGCTGACTTTGCTTCAATAAAAAAAATCTCAACACTTTTTCAACTCTGTTTGTCTCCACTTGGAAATTCAGCTTCAGTGATGATCCTTTACAATGACTCGGGGCAGTACCTGAACTGAGTTTAGAATACAAAGCAGCTTCACTTGAGAGTTTATCTTCCTTCTTCTGGAAAATGTGAATTAATGTTTGCTTTGAATTATTTAACAGCTCTTCGTGAGATGAAGGTATATGTAGTGCATGTCAAACCCTTTAAAACGGTATGTATCAGAAAGAAACAATTCTCATAACCACACAGTAATTTAAAAAAACATTGGAAAATAAAATCTTTATCTAACATTTACTAATTAGCACAAAATTTGAAGACTTAAAATATAACTAAGTGTAATAATTTTCATTATTCTCCATTGTTTTGGAAAGAAATTTAAGAAAATAGACACAAGAGAGTTAGGAGGAGGTACAGAGCAGCGAGTTAGATTGGGGGAAATTCAAGTACCGAAAATCTATTTCCACCCTCACAATTTGGCTCCATTCCTGTGAATCGTAAGAAACAATTAGTTTTCCTACAATTAGCATATCCCTGAAATAGGGTGTATTGTATATAATATTATGTAACCAAAAAGATGACAGTATTCAAGAGTCATTTCCCCTCGTTTCCATGCAGCTCAGTATTTCCTTATCAGCCCGCTGAATTCCTCAGGAAGATTGGAGGCTCTGCTTTTTCTTTTCTTTTCTTTTTTTTTCAATGACATGCATAAAGTTAATTGCATGTTAAATGAGGCTCTTATAAATTTAAATTTGGCTTATTTAAATTTGATTTTTCCAAACTGGTTTATAGGCCAGGCGCAATTACTCATGACAGGAAAATGGAGTACTTGAATCTAGTTCCGGAAAAATATTTTCATTCATTGAGAAAGGATCATCTACGGTGAGGCTTGTTGAAAGAAGAGCTTACAGCAGGCAGGTGTTTTAAAGTGCCGTGACTTCAAGGCCTGTAGTAGCATCTGCTGTCTCACCAGGCATGTTGTCATTAACTTTATCTTAAAAAGCACTAAGATATGAGCCATTCTTTAAAAGCAATTGGATATGAGAAGAGGTGAAAGAGAAGAACAAGACCACAGAGCAAATAAGTAACAGGGTACCACCACCAGGCTTAAAGGTTGGACATCTCTGTGGGGCCCCACTTAGTTTTCTCAGTGGAAATACCAATGCATTTCACCTTCAAAATTCACTGCTCCAGAGAGAAAGTGAAATTAGTTGTCAAGCACCATGTATGCACCAGAGTCTGAAGAAATGTATCAGTAATTCAAATAGTGGTGATCATGTCTAGATAAGTATAGAGGGAGAGTCCCCAAGACTGAACACCACAGGCTTTCATCCAAACCCCTGTTTGGAAGGAGATATTTAACCACACTTCTGGTGCATTGGTAAGAGACCAGGAGTTTCATTCTCTTATACAGAAAGCTTCCCCTGTGTCCAAGCTGACGGTCCAGGGTCCTGCCTTCCAGTGATGGCTTCCCTCCCAGTGTGTTTCTTTGCAGCAGCTCAGGGTAACTTGCCTCTGTTGTACCAATGTCAATGCTGCGTGACCAGGCATGTCACACACTAGTCATTAGTGAAGTCTCTTCTTTCATGCAGCAGATGTATACTGAGCCCTGGCTTCATCCTGAAACTAGGATCTGAGGATATAAGAATGTAAGGACATCCCCGCCGAGCTGACTCATGCATACACAGGGCGAGTTCGGGGTAATAGTGTGCACCCTTATATAACGCCGTGGGCTTAATAGAAAGGTCAGGCTTACTGTATTTAGTCTTTCCTCATCTTTCAATTAACCTTCTGGAAAGCATTCTTTCTTGTAGTGTTTGCAGAAATTCCAGTATACTCATGAAATAATAGAAGATGTAAGGTGATGCATGAGGCCGTGATCTATGTGGTCTCTACTCTGAAGCTGAGGAAATGGACATTGTATACTCAAAAAATTCAGTTTAAACATCTCAAATATATAATGCATCGTAACTCAGAGTATAGAGTTTGAGTTGTATTGTAACCCACGAAATAGAGCATTTATCAATTAAAGGCTTGAAAACCTCAGACGTATAATGTGTTATAACCCATGATACAGAGTTTGGGGGTGTTTTTTTTTTTATACATGTGCTCCTTGACACATTGTGAGAAGCACTGGTAACAGATCCTTTAGGAACGGATGTTTTGGCTATATGGAGAATGACCTGTAGGGGGTGATGATAGGGCAGTATTAACCAACTCAGGACTATGCAAACATACGGTATGGTTGTAAAACTGACATCAGTTGCCTCCTGCCTGCAGACCTGGCTGCTTTGCCCTGGAATCCTTCTTGTCTTTCTTTAGTCATGTAAAGTACTTTAAATTGCCTGTTTCCTAGGAGGGGACACGCATCTTTCCTGGATGTAAACTGTACCTTAAACAGTCTGCTTGTCGGGAGCGAAAGTGCATCTCTCCGAGATTAACTTTTACTTTTAAAAATAGTATTTCTTTAATCATATGTAAGTACTTCAGTACTCTGGCACACACGTGGTAAAGACCCCCTTTACGTAGCCTGCCCTTTCAGAGGCTGGTCTATGTCTAGAAGAGGCATAGGGTAGGCAGAAAGGGATTGGGTTTGGGAGAAATACTCCCTGCCCTTGAGAAGATTTTCACAAGTTTACTAGACATTCCTTAACATTATTAAAGAGATTCTAAAATAGGCGATTAGAAAGTTTTTGGGAACGACAGGAACATGAACTCTAAATGCATTTTTCTTTTAGGTTTTGAGGTTGAACAGAAATTGTCTTGTTTAGAAAGTGAACCTTAGTTCCAGTTCGAGCCTGTCTCACAGGATGCTAAAGAAGTAAGTGTATTTCCCGACATTGTGACTGGTTGACTGAGGTGGGTCAGTTGCTCAGTGCTGCTGGTCCAACTGTGTGGATACAAGGAAACTGAGAGTCAGGATTCTAACACGGTTCTAATCCAGTACTCTGTGTTGTCATCTTTTGCACCTCCTATAGATTTGCTGTCATACCTAGCCAGAAAACAAGCACTACCTTAATAGCCGACTCCATTTTCCTAGGTAATTTTCCCGTTTCTTTTAGCAGACCTTCTCAAGTCACGGTTTAAGATGCATCTGTTTTTTGGGTTTTTTTTATAAAGCCTGTGCTTTATTAGAATAATATATGTGGCTGCCCCAACCTTCATGAAGCATAGCTGTCCTGGGTAGGTGAGCATGGTAATCTGGGAAGAATTTTTGTGATGAAGTAATTGTTTTAATTACTTTAAATTACAAATAATTATTTTTTTTAATCTATATCTCCTGATATCACCAAGTTGTGCCAAGAAATCGGTCGAGAGCTCAGTTGGCCTAGTGGACAGAAAGTGATGCTACCAAGCTAAAGGTGGGTGATTTTAATCTGTGGCCCTCAGGCCTGGTTTTAATTGGTTTTGGTCAAACGTTCCTCTAAGTGGTATAGCACTGGTCTGTCCATTTGCTGTACAGAGGTAACTTGTGGTTGTTGTGATGCTGAACATTGTGACACCGATGTGTCAAATCGATAATGGTTAGTCACGGTGGACAGTGTTAGGTGGAGCTCCCTGATTAAAACAAGCTTGGAAGCAGGAGTGTTATCCACTTCCAAAATAGCTTGCCTCTGGAAACCCTATAAACTTGGAGAAACGATGAAAGTTGTACAAGTGTTCAGGTCTTCTGTTCATAGGGTTTCTATGAGACAGCAATTAACAACAAGAACATATCTCCTATGCACACCCATGTTTATCTTGGCTTTGTTCACAATAGCAAGGAATTGGAAACAACCTAAGTGCCCATCAGCAAACGAATGGATAGAGAAGCTGTGGTATATTCAAACAATGGAATACTATGCCACATTGAAAAACAAGGAATTCATGCAATATTATTAAAAATGGGTGACCCTGGAGGACATTATGCTGAGTGAAGTATCTCAACCACAAAAGGACAAATACTGTATGGTGCCACTTTTGTAAAACAGGACTGAAATCGGGGTTGGGGGAGACTGAGAAAGATGGGAAAGATGAGAAACAGATGATGGAGAAAACCGATTAAAAGGGATATGTAATTAAGTATTTTTGTTATGACGGGAGTCCAGAGCAAAGGCTGCATAGTGGAGTGGACCTGGGGTGAGGGATTGTAAAACAATGAAAGAATTTTTCTTTTAACTTTTCCAAGAGGGTAGTGTACTGGGTGGAGAGGGTTGGGAGGGGAGAGATGTACAACAATGAATGAATAGAAATCCAAAGTCACTGTAAATTTTCCCTGACATTAATAATAAATTTTAAAAAAACAAACAAACCACATCTCCTGATATCACCAATGTGTGCCAAGAAATCTGGAGGACAACT